AGTGTAGACTTCGAAAACAGAATCTCTGTGCATCTGAACTTCTTATAAATGGGTCATCGATTCAGAAGGCCACGGCTCAGGGACTCTTTCTAAAAATTAGGCTTGGGCAAGCCACCCCTATAAAATTATATATATATTTTAAAGTCATCTCTACACCCCAGCGTGGGGCTCAAACTCATGACCCAGAGATCAAGAGTTGCACACTCCCACTGAGCCAGCCAGGCAGGGCCCCCCCCTCCACCCCCATAAAATTATACAAGAAGCACAGAACAATCCTCCTTAGATTTGAGTACTGGGATGTATTTGACACAGTGCCATCATAGCAGACAACAAAAATTAAGAGGATATTAAGCAGACAAACTGCAACTGTTATTCCTAAGTGTCATTTCGACATTCTGTGCTCATTAGAGCAGCCTGAACCTCTGAAATTAGAGTATACAGAAATCACAGCACATCATACACAACGGAATGCTAAGTAGCTAGTGAAATGAAGGGTACTCTAAGAAATAACTATCTGTTGGGCACCTGAGTGGCTCAGTTAATTAAGAAATAACTATTTGGATTTTTTTTTAAATTTATTTGACAGAGAGAAAGTGAGCACAAATAGGCAGAGAGGCAAGCAGAGAGAGAGGGGGAAGCAGGCTCCCTGCTGAGCAGAGAGCCCGATGCGGGGCTCAATCCCAGGACCCTGAGATCATGACCCGAGCCGAAGGCAGAGGCCCAACCCAATGAGCCACTCAAGCACCCCGAGAAATAACTATTTGTTAAGCACAAAAGCAAAGTGCAGAACGTTTTCCATGGAGATCTCTAAATGCACACGTTCACGAATGGGTACTTATGTGTGCGTGGAATTTTTCTTTTTTTTAAGATTTTATGTATTTGTCAAAGAGAGAGACAGAGAGAGCATGAGCAGTGGGGAGCAACAGGCAGAGGGAGAAGCAGGCTCCCTGCTGAGCAAGGAGCCCGATGAGGTGCTCAATCCCAGGACCCTGAAATCATGACCTGAGCTGAAGGCAGACACTTAACCGACAGAGCCACCCAGGCACCCCAGAGAGAGTTATTTCTGTCGGGGAGAAAAGGCACCCAACTCTTGAGTTTTTTTATCAGAGAAAAAAAGCCAATGCTTATCACAAGGGAGATAAATGCTCACAGCAGAACTGAAGGCATCTGAGGGCAAGGCTGTGTTTGGGGGCTGCCCATTTGTAGGACCATTCAAACCCCAAATGCCACCTAAGGGCCCACCCAAGAGCCACCCAGTCTCCTACTTTCTTAGGAACATAAATCTACCTCCCTCATTTAGGATGGGCCTCTCTAGTCAAGACTATTCCAGTCAATTATCCCTCAAAAAAGCTGCAATCTTTTAGAAATTAAATAAATAAAAAGATTATTCCCATCACGGGAAATTTCTGGTAGTGGCAAGATGTTTAGCCAACATCTATTGCGTAAAACTAATCATCACAGGACTGAGAATGAACTCGGAAGGGCTAATTTTTAGAGGATACTTATTTTTGAAAGTTAGAAAAAAGCAAACATAAGAGCATCAGAGAAAATCCGCAGAGACAAGAAAGACCCAAAAAAGACCATTTCTATGTACTGTAAGACGTTTATTTTGGTTACAGTTAGTGTTTTAACACTGATTTGTGATACAACAGACTTTAAACTCACTTTCCTTTAAAACCAATGTTAATACCTGCCCCTTTTCTGTCCAGGAAACTCACACTTTCACAGTCAAATTACCCTGAAAGCTGACAGGAGATAAATCAAGCTTCCAACCACTCTGCTCTCTCAAGGGGAGAGGGCCTCTACTTCCAATCAGGATAAAGTCTTAACTTGGTAAGACCAACACTGTTGGCTCTTCAGTGGTTCTTGATACTGCCTTTGTGGCAGAAATCTCCTGCGAGGAAAGTGCGTATCTTCCTATTTTAAGATCAGCGCTTATTTGGATTAAAACATTAGCATCTTAACTTGTAACACAAAAGGCACCAACATTCCCTTTCAAACCATCCATCACCATGGGTGGAACACAGCGCCACCTGCTGGTCACCGTATTATTACATACCCTATAATTCCCAGGTGGTGGTAAATTCCAGGTGGGGATTCTCAGAGAACCCTATACAGTGTCAGAGCCAAAGGGACCTTAGAGGTCTTCTAGACGAGTCCCCTTGTTTTGACAGATGGTGGTTTCTGCTCTCCAGATAACTCAGAGTGGCAGAGAAACAGACCAGCCTGTGGAAAGTGTACTGCTTTTAGATTTGAGAAGAAAACCATCTGGTGCTCTAATTTGACCGAGGTGGGGGTCTGCTAGTCAAAGAAAGGGATCAGGTCATGAGGGAGGGTAAGGGCACCCTGAGTTCCTATTCCATCACTTCCCAGGGGTAGAAAGCCGTCCAGAAAGCGACCATGGGCAGCTGGGCACGTGCTGGCTCTTACACCATAGAATTTTATTTTACTCAAAAATTAGGAGCTAAATCTCATGACGTAAAAATAGGGTTTCTGGGACCAAAGACTACCAAGAAATCCCCGTTATCAGCATAAAAGTAAGTGCCCAAGTAAAGGCAGTAATTTTCCCAGTGGCCTTTTCTCCCTCAGGCCCCCACCAAAAGGCCTTCAAGAGGTCCTGATAAAAGGAGCCTGAGTAGCTAGCTGCCCCGTCCCATGGGGAGACCACTGGCGGGAGGAGGCGCCCTTCCCCCCAGTCCCAGAGCATCTTCCAGAAGCAGAAGGGAAAGCTCCAACTTAGGGATGCTACGTGTTTCCTGGAGGAAGAGGCACACCTTCTAACCAAATCAGGGACCCAGGCTTCTTGCTTCCTGCTCCTGGAGTGGGGATGGGCTTGTATCAAATCCCTCCCACCCTCTTCTGGACCCCCGCCCCCGCCATGGCACCCCAGCTTGAATGGTTGTACTCCATCCACAAAACTGGCTCCTAGGCACACCGGCTGGGTCAAGGGCGTATGCTTGCCCCTGGACACTCCAAGGGGGATCCTTTCTTGATGGGGAGCCTAGTATGGGACAAAGATTCAGTTTCAGGAAGCAGCAAACCTGAAATCTTGCCTCGGCTCTTCCTCAGAGTTGGGACGGCCTGGGTGCCCTGCCGTCCGTCAGTCTGAACCCCAGGTCCTTTTTCTTCAAAGGTCACAATACACGAAGAAGCTCTGCCAACTGGATGGCGTTATTGGAAGGATCAAGTTAGATCAAGTGGGATGGTTCTTGGGAAACCGGAAGGTGAGGTACACGGGTTAGAGGATGGCCATTTCACTGAGGTGGGCTTCTGTGGGCAGTCCGGTCTCTGGGAGAGACCACAGCTCCTAGTTTGTTCGATGCGGCTGTGGTCACAGAGGAAAGTGACCGTCCAGACCCCACGCTCTGGCCCTGTGGCGGGAGAGGCCATGCGACACCCGGGAGTGAGGCCCGGGGGCACCCTGCTTCTTCTCGTCTAGCCCGACGCCCCTGGTCAACTCTGAAAAAGGCACATTCCCCACCTCGACAGGTGAACACTGCCTGAATTTCCATTTACAACGGAATTTTGAAGACTTGACAAAAGTCCTTGGTTTTTCACTTCTGGTAAGACTCCTTCTGCAAATCCTTGCAAGGGATCCTACCACAAATTCAGGTTTCTGGGAGCTTGACACACCCACCAGAACATTACCCTGCATGGGTCTGGGTCTCAGAAACAATAAGAAAAAGTTAAATTCTGCAAACTTTTCTAGATCTCTGTGTGCGAGGAGCTGGGGCGGGGGGTGCGGGTATGGCTGAGGACCACCTCTCTGCTGTCGGGGAACCTGAAGATGACAGGAATGCATCCCTTTCATGGCAACAATCACTCAAAGTCCTAACGACTGTTTTCAAAACAAAACTCCTATATTCTGACACATGTGTGCACACGAGGGACCATCATCCTTATGGATGACTAACGTCATCCTTAAATTAGTCCTTAAAAAAAGGTGGCTCTGGTTTGTTTGTTTGCTCTACCACCAGTAAAGTCTCCACTTGGAGGCTCCGCTGTGTTTCATTTTGGCCTGGCTGAGTCACTTTTGCTCCAAGGGCTCCGGGATCGTTCTTGGCACCACAGAGCCCTAAGACCCACCTAGAAGTGGGCGGGGTGAAAGCCTGCTCCTCCATCCTCTGGCTGTTTCTGAGACACACACTCCCCCTCCACACCCACACACGCACCCTCTAATTGGCCAACTTCTTCCTTCTGTCCTTGGAATAGCAACAGAGACAAAAAGCAGTTGGCATGAGTGGCTCGAGCTCACCCACGCTATAATTCAGGACAAAACCTTTGTAATTCTTCAAATGGTGGGGGTTTTAAATAGGCTGGAACTTCAACACCCTGTTTTCTCAAAAAATAATAGTAATAATATAAAATAAAACCATGCCCAAGGCATCACTCTTCTAACAATCCAAGTGACTGAGAGCAGTGGTCCGAGAGAAACATTCCAAAGCAGCGGATTCTGAATGCAAGCCTTCCAAAGATTCTTGCATTCTAGATACTGTGGACTGACTGGAGTCCTCCGGAGGAATGTCTGCCCACCTGACGGCCTCTTTGTTTGGGTATCTTTAATCCTACTGAAATACTTAAAATGCAGTCTCTTCATGGGAATTTCCACCCACTAACAACTGCTGGCCGGGGGGCCAGCTTCAGCCCTCAAAATGCGAGCCTCTGCCTATGAACAGCTGGGATGAGCGGGGAGGAGGCAGGCAGGGTGGGGAGAGGGGGGCCTGTGTTTGCATAGTTCCCTTACAGGGCTCGAGGTGCTGAGGTCCCCACTCAGGAGAGGACCCAGGGTGCATGGTAGGGAGCCGGGGAGGGAGGCAGGGGGCAACAGAGGTCAGGAAGGGCCCCTGGGGGCATCTCGAGCCTTTCACTGCCACAGACCTCCTGCCTTGGGTCATCCAGGAGAAGCATGCATGTCACAGACCTTCCCCCTCTGCGCCCCCACCTCAGGGAGAGGACATCATAAACTACAGGCACAGGACACACCAGGGAGCGACAATGCCTTCCTTAGCAAGCTTGTTTATGTGCTCCCCAGGGGGAAAGTGGCCCAGGGCTGTGTTGGGACAGACTTGTGGGCAAGTGCCTGGTGATGCTGGGAGCAGGGTACACTGTGTTTCCTAAACATGGCGGCTTCGGACACCTCGACCAGGGCCTCCCCGGCCTGCCTCTAGAGAAGAGGCCGAGGGGGTGCCCTAGAGTTTCAACTTCCCCTCCTTGACTAGTTTGTCATTGAGCTGGCACAGCTGGGCCAGGAAACCATCGTTGGGGCCGATCTCACGGTTCTGCCTCACGATGCTCAGGGCAGACTTGACGTCCATCTTCTGACGCATCATGAGGTAGGCGATAACTAGGGTTGGGGAGCGGCTGTAACCTTCCCGGCAGTGGACGAGGACCCGGCCTGGAAGAGAAACAGGGGCTTGTGAGCTGGAGCTGGGGGCTGTCCGCACACAGCCTGACTCAAGTCCCAACTCTTCTGGGGGGGCACCGATGAGTACCCAAGACGCCATTGTGCTGTGGGGCGGGGAGATAACGTACATAAGCACATCACCCTGGCAAACTGTGGGGCAGTATGTACTCAAGTGGGACACACGCAACCCCTACGGCCCAGTGGGGATGTACACACGTGCCCACAAAAGACATGCACCCAAATATTCTGAGGGCGGCACTGTTCCTAACAGCTGGCAGCTCCCAGAGGCCCATCAATGGCAGGACAGATCGCTAACAAGAAAGAGGGGTACCTGGGCCACCCAAGCGCCCCTGACTTTGATATTTCAATCAAAACCAAAACACATGGGGCACCTGGGTGGCCCAGTTGGTGAAGTATCTGCCTTTGGCTCAGGTCATGATATCAGGGTCCTGGGATCGAGCCCCGAGTCAGGCTCCCCCACTCAGCAGGGAGTCTCTGTTCTCCCTTTGCTCCTATCCACTCCGCTCATGCTCTCTCTCTCCCTTGATCAAGTAATTAAATAAAATCTTAAAAAAAAAAAGACAGAAATGACCCAAAGGTCCACCAGCAGGTAAACGGACAAACTGGGAAGACTCGTCAGCATTCAACGGGAAAGGCCACGTGCAGCCACACAGATGGAACCCCTAGCGATGACGCGGACGGGGCGGGGCTGAGAAAGTGAACCAACAGGCCGGAAATCTTTTTCACTTGTTTGCTGTCCCCCTCCCCTAAAATGGGGAAGCTCCACAAGGCAGGGCTGTCCATCCGTTTTGCTCCCCGCTGTATCCCCAGCACTTGGTGAAAGGAAGCATCAACCAGTCCCACCACATTGCATTTCCACTGGGGGCTCCCTGGGAGCCCCAAGCCTTGGCTTCTCTCTGCCACCACAGAGCCTTAGTTCACCACCCCTCCCACCACAGAGCCTTAGTTCAGGTCCTCGTCACCCTCACCACAGCCCCCTCCACACCTCCAAACCCAGCTCTCCCTCTACCCCCATCACCAGCAACCCACACTCCACCCAGTAGCTGGAAGGGGCTTTCTAAAATTCAAATACAACCTGTCACCCTTTCAGGGCTTCTAGTCTCTAACGTGTGGCTTATAAGGCCGAGTGCCCATGGCCCAGATACCTTCCCATGCTTTTCCCCATCCCTGTGCCTCTGCACATGTCATTCCCTCTATCTGGAACGTATTCTCTCTCTTGGCCACCTGGCAAACTCCTACTCATTCCTTAAAACCCCAGTTCAGGGGGCTCCTGGGTGGCTCAGTGGGTTAAGCCTCTGCCTTCGACTCAGGTCATGATCTCAGGTTCCTGGGATCGAGTCCCGCATCGGGCTCTCTGCTCAGCGGGGAGCCTGCTTCCCCCTCTCTCACCACCTGCCTCTCTGCCTTCTCGTGATCTCTCTCTATCAAGTGAAAAAAATAAAATCTTTAAAAAAAAAAATACCCAGTTCAAATATTTCCTTTGTCAGCACAGGGATTTAGAACCAAAACCTTTGGGGCACCTGAGTGGCTCAGTTGGTTGAGGGTCTGATTTAATTTGGGTTCATGTCTGAGGGTCATGAGACCAAGCCCTGCGCTGAGCCCTCCCCCTACCCCCACCCCAGGGGCACATGTGCACACAACTCTTTCTTTCTCTCTCAAGTAATAAATAAATACAACTTTTTTTGAGAGAGAGAGAACACTTGCAAGCCGGTGGTGGGTGGGGGAAGTGTCGGGGTAAGAGGAAGGGGACATAGAGAATGGGAGAGGGGAAGCGGGACTCCTTGCTGAGCTCAGAGCCAGAGGCAGGATTCAATCTCCAGAACCCGAGATCATCATAACCTGAACCGAAACCAAGACTGGGACACTCAACGGACTGAGCTACCCAGGTGCCCCAATAAATAAATCTAAAAGAACAAAAAACAAAAAAGAAGAAAAAGGGGCTCCTGGGTGGCTCAGTGGGTGAAAGCCTCTGCCTTCGGCTCAGGTCATGATCCCAGGATCCTGGGATCGAGCCCTGCATCGGGCTCTCTGCTCAGCAGGGAGCCTGCTTCCTCCTCTCTCTCTGTCTGCCTCTCTGCCTACTTGTGATCTCTAGCTGTCAAATAAATAAATAAAGTCTTTAAAAAAAAAAAGGAAAAAAAATAAAGAAAAAAAAACCTTGAAGTCATGTGAATGTGGGTTTAAATGTTAACTTGCTGGTTGTGATGGTTACAGGTGTCAGCTCAGCCTGTCTATGATGCCCAGCTGTCTGGTCCAGCACTGGTCTAGAAGGTATTTCGTGGATGTAATTAACACCAACTATCAATAACTATCAGTTTCCTTCAGTAAAGGAGACTGCCCTTGGTCATGTGGCTGGGCCGCATCCAATCAGTTAAAGATCTTAAGAGCAAAAAGTGAGGTTTGCTGGAGATGAAATTCGGCCTCAAGGCTGTAATAAAGAAGGCCCGCCCGAGTCTGCAGCCTCCCAGGCTGCCCTCCAGATTTCAGATCTGCCAGATCCTACAACCGTGTGAGCCAATTCCTTAAAATAAATAATATCTATTCTTCTCTAGGTTCTATCTTGCTGGCCGGTACACTGCTTTTGAACTCTACGACCCACTACCCCCCACACGCCTCCACTTCCTCATCTGTGGTCATAGTACCCATTGCGCAGTGTTGTTGGGGGACTGAAGGAAACATCCTATAAAGTCCTTAGACCAGCGCCCAGCATATGAACTAACTCCTAGCCAGCAACAGGAGTTGTCTGGTGGAGCCCAGTACTTTCTAGGACAGCAGCCTGGCTCTGTGTCCTTCCCGGCCACGCACGGATCTACCCTCCTCCACCAGACCGCATGTGCCTTAAGGGCAGACTGTGGGGTACTGATTTTTGGATGCCCTACAACTTCTAGTATGCACTTGGTGCTCAATAAATGTTGGCTGATTAGCCAAGTGGTTGAGTGTCCACCAATGCTTCTATCCTGCCATTATTTTGAAGGAAATCTGGTGGCCCAGAGTCAAACAGAGTCTCTTCTGTTCCTATCACCCTCTGCTCAAAACATGACTCTATTCTCCCCATGCCTCCCATGCAGGAAGGAGGACCTCGCCCGCCCCTCCCCTGCCCATTCTCTCTCTAGCCAGCATATCCAAAGGGTGTGGAGAGAGGCTTTCCCTGCCCAAGCCCTGGTGAGTGAACCCTTGCGGAGCCACTGCCTCACCACCTGGAACATACTCAGCAGCCCAGGACTCCCAGAGCCGATCAGGAAGGGGAAGGTTTGATTTCCAGCCTTCCAGGCCCCACCCAGACGCCATTCCTCCCTAGAGGCCTCCCTTGATCCGGATTGGAAGTGACTGCTTCCTCCTCTGGGCACTCCTGGCTCTTCCCACTTCTCAAAGTGATGGGGGGCTGGCTCCCCCGAGCAATGCAGCCTGTGGGAGGCCACTGTGTTTCTGTTGACTCACTTGGCCAGTCAATCTTAGAAGCATTTACACTTGGCTTGACAGCCCATGGAATTCATTTTTGTCACTCCCTCAGTAATTATCTGCCGTGTGTCTGCTATGGCCCCGAAGCTACCTTACGTGCTGGAGGGACAGACAGGAACCCCGTGGATCCAGCCAGAGGGCAGGTCTCACGCAAGAGAGTTTGCCAGAAGACAAGGTAGGGAGAGGCAGAGAGAACTTTCCAGATGGACAACTCAGCCCACGCTGCCTCCCACTAAGCCGGGAGGTCACAAAAAGTCAAGGTCTGTTCCTAGTGGGATGGAAAGGGGAAACAGAGTCGGAAGGCTCTAAGTTTCCCGAGTGGCTGACCAACCCATGTACAAGAAGAGCAAAATCCATCCCCTTAACTGGGACCCTCGTTCCCATCTACATGGGGACTCCGTACAGCCGGAACAGAGGGGGTGACGTACATGAGACCATGAAGGACCACAAAGGGCCTGACAGTAAAGCCTACAGATGCCCCAGGTGATCACACCTCCCTCCTGAGCCCCAGACACACGATAACCAACGTCTAGTACATGCTGTTCACTGGGAATCATTCAAGGGGGAGGCTGCTGGGCACAGGAAGCAGAGACAGGCTGGGAGCAAGGGGACACGGGGCTCACCTCCCCTGCAAAGGTTGTGGGAGGGGGAGGAAGAGGCTGGAAGAGGCAGCTTGAAGGTAAAGACAGTCCCTGGGAGGAACAAGCTATAAGCAGAAAGGGCAGGTGGCCAGGGCTGGTCAACTGATGTCTGCCCTCTGCGTTCTAGGGTTTGCCCCCCAGGGACGGCCTGCCTAACTGCCCGTGCCTCAGCAGTTCCCCCTCAGTCGCAGATGTGGGAGCCCAAGGAAGCGTTTAGAAAGTGGCTGGAAGATGTGGCCTGTGGGCCATTGCCTGCTGAGCACCAGCCTAAGCCCAGCCATGGCGGCCCCATTCTCCTGGCCAGGCATTCCATGTAAGCCAACTCCAGCCAGTGAGATCTGAGGGGAACCCCCACTGAGGATTTCTGAGGGCCCTTCTACTTGCTGCTCATTTTTATTTATTTACTTATTTTTAAGATATTATGTATTTATTTGAGATAGAAAAAGCACAAACCGGGCCAACAAGCCGAGGGAGAGGGTAAAGCAGACTCCCTCTGCCAAGCAGGGAGCCTGACATGGGGCTGGATCCCGGGACCTGGGATCATGACCTGAGGCGAAGGCAGACACTTAACTGATTAAGCCACCCAGGCACCCTCCTACATGCTCTTTAAGAAAGGGAAGAAACATGGGGACGAGATGGCTGCCTGGTCTTTTGCCGTACTTTGTCCTGCTGGGATGTGGTGACTGGGTCTGCCACCACCATCTTGGGACCATGAGGGGAGAGCCCAGAGGGTAGCAGAGGGGTGGAGGGGGAAGCACCTTGTCCTGACACGGCCACTGAGCTGCTGAATCAACCAGCCCCAGAGCTCCTTTACCTCAGCACTTCTCATCACAGAAGATAAATCGTTACTGCTGAACCTATTTTGGGGGCACGGCGGGGAGTGGGTAGAAATGAACTCTCAGCCAAAGTCCACTCAAACACCAGGACCCCAAGGCTGCCACTGTGAGAAACGTTTATACATCTTGGGTAACGTGGGGCCTCTTGACAGAGAGGAAGCCGGTGGTGGGCCTGTTTTCTAGAGAAGTCCCGTCAAAGCTGCCTTGCCTTGTTTCCTGGCCCGCATGTGCCTTACCATTCTTTTGAGCCAAGGCCTGGTCGATGAAGTCTGCAGCCCTTTCAAAGTAGGCGCTGAGGTTGAACTCCTGCGTGTCGTTGGCCTTGATGCCCAGGTAGGTGATGCCGGAGTCCTTGTAGAAGTTGGCATTGGTGTTGACATGCATGAAGGACCTGCCCTCCGCGGCATTCAGCACGTGCGTGATACCTAGTTTCTGCAGCTTGGGGATGTCTTGAGCCACAGACCTGGACAAGAGACAGCGGCAGGGGATGACTCACTCACCAGCTGGCAGCCCAGGGGGAGGAAGATGGAGAAGATTCTAAGTCTCCCGGCAAAGCGAGGAACCCTTGGTGCTCGGCCCCTGCTAGCTTCCCCTCATCTTATGAGCCACCTCCCTCCCTCCAGCCGTATCTAATTACCAGCAGCTTCCCCAAATAGCCGGGGTGGTTTCATGCCCATGTCGTTCCCTCTCTTTGAAATGCCCTTCTCGAGCTTCTCCGTGGACAGACACCCTCTCGTTTTTCACCACCCTCTGCAATGTGTCCTCATCTCCCCTCCACCCCCAACGTGGCATCTGGCTTCCTACCCTGTGGTGGGGGGGTACAGCCTAGTGGGCTCAAAATGGGCTCTAGAGCCAGACTGCCTGCGTCTGAATCCAACCCTCAGACCTACCATCCAGGTAACCTTGAGCAAGCCACTTAACCTTCTGGTGACTCAGTTTCCCTGTCTGTCAAATGGGGAGGCTACCCCTTGGGGTGGCTTGTGTTACACGAGTGGTCCTATAGACAGAGCCCACACTGTAGTCCGTGCTCTTCTAATGCCTGATTGTGCTTCTTTGTTCTGATCCCCTCAAGTGAGTAACCCACTCCACTGCCCAGCACCTGCTATCAGCACCCGGTACTTAGTAGGCATCAACTGACTACGTAGTGAATCCAAGAAAAAGGAAATCAGCACATCTGAGGCAGCCTCCTTCCTTGGATCATAAAATACGACAGCCCCTCTAGTCCCCCAGAGGGACCCTTTCTGACACCGAGCACCAGCCACATCTCTGAGGCTCTCCTGGGTGAGTAAGCACTTGAGGACCCAGTGGCGCCAACTCTGGGGGTTATAAAACATTTGATCTCAATAGTCAAAGGGCTCCTTTATGTCATCTCCCAACAACGTCCCAATTCAGACAGCAGTTTATACTTTACAAAATGCCTTCTCCGACAGGAGATCTCGTCTGCCTGAAGCAAGCCCTGGCCTTGAGCTCTGGTCCCAATGGACGGTGGAAGGATGAGCTGCGGGCTCACGCAGACAGCCGAGCGGCGAGCTGGGACGAGGCCCAACGCCAGCCCTGTTCTGTCTCCCCCTCACTCTGCCTGTCATGTTCACATCAACTGCATATCCTGAGTTCTAGAAAATGAGGCTCATACAGGCTCCTCTCTGCCGTGTGAGCCCTGATTTGATTCAGGGGCTCCCAACAGGCAGGGAGCATGAGGCGCTCCATGCTGAGCGCCCCCCCTCCCCCAACACACACCCCTGGCCAGGTCAAAGCCAGATTCGTTAATTGGCCAGGGGACGTGTTTTTCTACAGTGGCCACTCTGGCTGCCACCAGACATTCACAAGCTCGGTTTCCACTCAGGAAGTGGAGGCAGCTGAATGTGCCCAAGTGCCCTGGAGAGCAGGGTCTCCGAGGGAGCCAAGGCCACTTGCTGCTTCGGTGTCAGGACAGGGCGCTATCCTCAGAACTTTGCAATTTCCTGGGCCCTTTGGCTGAGGCTCTGGGACTGTTTTAGCTGTCCCTGCTCACCAGGCTGCACATGGTTGTAGAGCAGTGATCGATTCTCTGAAGGTGAGCTCCCATTCACCTCCCTTCTCCATTACACATTCAACAAATTCACCATTACCATTACTATCACTGTGAATGCACACTCAAGTGCCTGACACACAGTAGGTGCTCAATATGGTGAATGAATGGACGGAGTGGATGAGATTGTCCCCCATGACAGTGGGACCTGCTTTAGAGACCCTATTTAGCCCCACGATGACCCCTATTTTTGTGGCACCCTTTAGCAGGATAAGGAAGCAACAGGTTGTAGTACAGGATAGGGGATACAGACATGAACGAGACATTAACCCTGTCCTCACGGTCCCTCAACCACCCTGTGCCACCATGTCCTCCAGGGTAAAAGGAGAGAGGGGAGTTAATTCTGGGTTTCCAAAATGCAGACCCTGGCCCATAAAGCTTAGGGCCTTAGTAAATCAAACCCTATCTGTTAGGCAGGAGAAGGAGCGAGGAAACCCCAGCCCTGCCCTCCGGATCCCTCATCTGGAGTGTTTCGATTCTCTGATCTGGTCTGCCCAGCCGGGGAAAGTTCCACGCCCGATTTGTGACGTCAGCCGGTTGCCATGGCAGCGAAGGCAGACATTCCGCGGTGACCTCACTGCAGAACCAGGCAGCTGTCACATGACGCGCGGGCTGGAGACCGGCCGGGTGACAGAGGGCCACCTGTTAGGTGATCACGGTGGCCCGACCCCGCCCAAGGCCGAGCCCCTATCGGGTGGCGGCTTCGGGCGGACGCCAGGCTGGCCGAGCGCCCCGGAATCCGGGCCCCCCGCGAGGGGAGGAGGACCGCGCGGGGCCGGGGCGGGGTCTAGCCCCTCCACCTCCCCCCGCGCGGGGGCGGGCGGCGACTCCAGCCCCTGCCCGGCCCCCACGGTGTTCCCGGAGGTCGACCACGCCCCACAAACCGCCCCCCCCACCCCGTACGCCCGCGACGCCCCCACCCCGGCTTTCGGGTGGGCGGGGCGCCCCAGCGGCGACTCACGCGTTGCCCACGTAGATCCTGGGGGTGACCTCGTTGCAAGGCTGGCTCGGTAGGCTGTAGCAGCCGCTGCCATCCGACAGCAGGTCGTTGAGATCCTGCACCGAGAGCTCGAACGGGCCCGACATGGCGACGGCCGGGCCCTGCACGCCCGGGCAGCAGCCTGCGAGGGGAGAGCCGCCGGGTCAGCTGGGCGGGGGCTCCGGAGCCGGGACCCGCCCGGTCCCGCCCCGGAGGCGGTCCCGCCGGGCGCGGGAAAAGGCGGAGCGCGGACGTCCGGCGCGCTCAGCTCCCCGCAGGGAGGCGGGCCGCCGGGGCCCGCGGGGACGCTCCGGGGGCCCCGGGCCTGCCCTCCCTGCCGGCGGAGGTGGCGCCACCCAGGTGTTTTAGGGGGTCCTCGGTCCACCCCCAGCTAAGGGCTTTTCTGCATCATTATAAACGGGGAAGTTCTGTAACAACTTTGGATTAAACGCAGAGCGACATTAAATGTTCCAACTGAACAGGGTACGCACAGGTTTTGCTGTTTTTGCAGTTTTAGCGGGACACCCGGATTCCACTTGTGAACTGACTCTGCCTGCTGCGGACCAGCGGCATTGACATCCCGGGGAGCTCGTCAGAAACGCAGTCTCTCCCCAGCTCCGCCACGCTGAATGAGGATGTGCATTTTACAGCCCGCCCTCCCGCCCCCCCGCGATCCTTACAAAGGTTCAAGTTTGGGAAGCCCAACTCTGAGGCACATTTCTTCCAACATTTATCCGGCTTCAAAGCTTGGACTCTGTGCAGCCAGGCTTCGCATTCTGACCCTGGCAAATCAGCCTCTCTGAGCCTGTTTGTTGGGGGAGGAGAATAAATGGGGATACTAGTAGCACCTAACTCCTAGGGTTGTTTGGAAGATTAAATGTGACACCAAGGAAATCGCCCAGCACTGTATAGTGAGCACCCAGTAGGTTTCTGCCTCTACATCAGCCAATGCCGTGGGCACCCACTAGGTGCTACTCCACCTGTACTGGCCTGGAAACCATCAGGCTCCTTCGCAGCCCTTCCAGGAGCAGCTACCAGCCCACCATGAGCCGTGATCGCGTTGGCAACCCCTCATTTGCTGAAATCCCACTAAAAGCAGAAGACAGACTCCGTCTTTCCCCAGTGCGGATGGCAGACTCCCGCCCCACCCCCACTCCTCCAAAATGCAAATGCCCGGGGAGTTTAGGAAACCCCCCATCCTGAGCCCAGCCGCAACACGAACTTGGTTCTTGAGCAGCAGAGCAGCCTGTTGCTTTGAAGTTCAGATTCTTCATCTGCAAAACGAAGAAATTGCATGAGCTTCTCACTAAGGCCATCTTTCACCTGCCCCCATAAGCTTGGGGTCTCCCACCTCCGGAAGATCCATTGTGGTGGAGATTCCTGAGCTTACAGCTGAAGGTGTGTGAACGAGCCTGGACTTCTCCATCCCCACCCCCACTTCCCACCGGGAGCCTTCCTACCCCTCCCAGCACACCACACCTTTTCCCCCTGCTGTTGGGGGGATCCACATGCCAGGCAGGTTCTGAGTCTTGTCCCCCATCTTGATTTGGACCTGTGTTAGCCTTCAAACAGAAGTCCAGGGATAGCCAGGCACGCTCTGTCGCTCCTCTTCCTTCCCCAAGACCTGTCCCTGATGTCATAACGGGGTAACTATGACAGCCTGTCGTGGGGACAGCTAACTACCTCACAGAGGAGCCTGGGTGCCTCATTTCTGAAGTGAGACTAGGAAGAGAAGATGAACAATTCCCTGGATTATCTAGCCTACCCTGTAATCGTCTCTAATCACAGACAGAGCACAACCTTCAGGAAGAAACTGGACTTTGGCCACTATGTATTTCATAAGAATAGAATACAAATAGGTATGTGGACAGTTGGGGTGGGACATCTGCGATTAGGGGTCCTGGAACGGTTGGCCTCAGAGAGATTGGCAGTAAACCAGACCACTACTGGCTTTGTGATGATATGGCCTTATCAGTTGGCTTGGGTCAAGAGGGCATCGGCATCTGTGACATTTATCTCCCAGCAGGAGTTCAGTGGTTGGAAACGCTCACTTAAACTCTTTCAAAGCCGGAGTAAGCTAGAAAGAGGCTAGGACTCCAGCTCCCAACAGGCTAGTCATACTGGGAAAGGACGCAAAGGACATTGATCTCTGTTTTACTTGTTCTGGCCCTCACGTTCTGTTATTTGTGCTACAAACTCTTCAAAGATGTCCGTTTGGGAAATTAAACTAACAGAAAATCCCTGAACCAGAGTAAGGTCAGAATTCAACATCGTCCTGTTTACTAATGGGGGGCAGTTGTCTAGAACGGGAGCGGGTTTTCAAGGCGGCTAGGAGGACCCCTCTGCAGTAACGTGGCTCTCTTTTACCCTCTTAGTGAAGGCGACCGTCGACACAAAACCTCCAGTGGCACACACACATCACATTTTGAAACTCAGCAAACTACAGGTATTGGCTCTTGCTGTCTGTGGATGTACTTTATTGATTTTTTTATCTATGTCCCGAAGAGGTCCGGTTTCCCAGAGCCTCGTAAATACCCTCCTCATCCAGAGATTTGCTAAGACTCCCTGCCCTTTGCGCACCAGCCGTCCCTGCACGCTCCTCCCAGTCTCCACTGCAGCCCTCGATTTGCCCCTTTCCCACCATCCCAGAGGAGGGTGATGCAGAGCGCGGGGGGTGTTGGCCACTGTCACCACGGAGGGGGGCGCGGTTTCTTACCAGGGTGAACAGAAGCGAATTGACAAAATCGAGTATGAAAACAAACAACTGTGTCAGAAGATTGCAAATGCCCATCGTGGTCCTGCCAAGGTGGATTGCTGGAACGAGTATTTTTCCAAGAGGTAGTGTTCTTTCTCCTCTCCTGTGTTTGGGAAATCAGAGTCGACTTTCCCCCTTGTCGGATTTTAGTGCGAGATTCTCCTGAGCAGGAGGCGTCCTAGAGAGAAGGCATCTTGATGGGAGACCAGGTTAGGGAGAATGAGAACTCTCCAAAACAAGGTCCAAGCTGCACCCAGACCAATAGAGTAGAATCCTCTAGGGAACATCAGGGTTGAGAACCACTGATAGGAACCTGCCAGTGTTGTGTACGGACCCCAGAGTGTCGTCTAGTTCAACAGGTGTAGGGGGTCTCAGGGCTCAGCGGGAAGCCCTTAGGCAGCCTGGGTTTATGACATCACGACTTCATCCAAGAGGGGAATTTTTTTCTCCAGCCATCTCAGGATTTTGTGTTTTTCAGCTTAAACAGAGAAACAAGGAACCGGGAACTCGTGAGAATCACCGTGGAAAACCAGGGCATTCTGAAGAGGCTTGGTGATCGCAAACCCTACTATGACCGCAGGTTGTCCGAGATGGACTGGCAGGCACGTGGCTGCTCTGTGTGCCTCCCTTGTGCCTGCACAATGCATCTGTGTTCAGAGTAGAGTCAGTCTCAGAAGGCATTCCCTAAGCAGCTGAAGGAGAAGTCATGCAAAATGCAGCAACTGGTAAAAGAGAAACCACCCAGAGCAAACAAAGCTAAGGACAGGAGGGGCGCCTGGGTGGCTCAGTGGGTTAAAGCCTCTGCCTTTGGCTCAGGTCATGATCCCGGGGTCCTGGGATTGAGCCCCACCTCGGGCTGTCTGCTCAGCAGGGAGCCTGCTTCCCCCTCTCTCTGCCTGCCTCTCTGCCTGCTTGAGATCTGTTAAATAAATAAATAAAATCTTTAAAAAAAAAAAAGCTAAGGACAGGAGCAAACCATCCAGGAGCTAATCCATTTGCTCCCTGGGTAGCAAAGCCGCCATGTATCAGTTTCAAAAACTATCTAGTGGCATCTTCCCTCAAGCTTTAATTCATTAAAAAAAGAATGTACAAGCAAGGAGGAGGAAGGGTACATGATTCAGTGTGCGGTTGATTTCCTTCATTTAGGAACCAACTTTCAAGAAGGAAAAAAAAAAAAAAGGAAAAAGCCTTCTGTGGTGCTTTTTTTTTTCTTTAAAAAAACAAAAAACAAACAAACAAACAAACAAAACCCACTCCCTGACTTTTGTCTGTAAGCCTTCTCTAAGCCAGCCTTAGGAGCTAGACCTCCAACTTTAGCCCCAGCCCCGTGGCATTGACAAAAATCTTTCTGATTTTTTCCCTTCAAGAATTCAAGGCGCTATATCAAAAATACAACAAGATATCTTCTCTCCCGAGATGGATAGGTATGTCTTAACATGGCTGCTTCTTACTGGGAAATAACAGTGATCACGTTGGATAGCAAAGCCCTAAGAGCCATACAGATGGAGCACAAGGGACCCAGTTTTAAGGGGATGGATTTTTGCCCTTCTGTAATATAACAGAACTTAGAGCCCTCTGTTTCTTCTCTCCAAAAGAGTAGGAAATGGCTGGCTTTTGTCATCAGCCTTGAGTCTTTCCATGAGTCTAAGGGGAAGTGATTTGTTCCAGTAAAATATAAACAGGAGGTCTCGTGATTTTCATATTGGGCAAAAGTTACATTACAGGTCTCTGTCACTATTCACATACTATTGTGTTGGCATTTTGTATTATTTAACATTATTAGGAATGACTAAGCTGTGTGTGTGTGTGAGTGAGTGTGTGTTTTGCCCCTGGGGAAAAGGATAAATGGACACTCAGGCTCTCCAAAGTATAGTTCCATATAATTGGTGTTTCTCCATTTCTCTCCCTCTTTTCTCCCTGAAAACAGGGTTACTCACCATGGAAAAGATACAAAAGAAAGCCCTAGGATTTCTTAGCTGCTTAGAATTTCAAGACACCCCTAAGTGGCTGAATGCTTAATCTTAGGATGCTACAATAAAGCTTGGAACATAAAATGAGTAAGTTACATTGAAAGTATGTACCCAAAGGCGTTAAGTCCCATCCCAAAATGGAGACAGAGTTCGGGCAGGCAGAAGGCAGGATGCAACAAGCATTTTTATTTGGGGCTATAAAAAGGAGTTTCTATGAGAGCATAAGAGAGAGAAATACCTTTTTAAAACACACGCCATCGTCAGCATCCTAGAGGGGAGGAAGGTGGGGTAAGATGACCCAGCCCTAAGTATAGCTCTGTCAAAACGGAAAACAGAAGCACGTGATAAGATTAAGGTTCAGACAACACAGAGAACAAATGCCATTAGTCTCTCTGTGAATACACAGCATTGGAAAAGAATGCTTCATTGAAGTTTCCGTGTACTCTGTTCATTTATAGGGAGCAGCAACAGTGAAAGTGTCAAACACATCTCAAAACATAGGCAAGACAACACAGCTTGAGGGCTGTGACTGGTCGTGCTGGGTTTGAGCCTGACATTTTAAACTTTTTATGGAGAGAGGGTAGACCTTAAGTGTTCTCACCACAGATAAACTTTTTATTTTAAAATAATTAGATTCACAGGAAGTTGCAAATAAATGTTCGGGGGTGGGCGTGGGGGTGGGGGACTTCTGCACCCTTCACCCAGCCTTCCGCAAAGTTAGCACCTGGTGTAACTGTAATATGATATCAAACCAGGAAGCTGACGTTGGTGCAATCCATAGAGTGTATACAAATTTCACCAGTTATGCATGCACTGGTGTGTGTGTGTGTAGCTCTCTGTAGTGTTATCAGATGTGTAGCTTTGGGTAACTAGAGTCACATTCAAGGTACATAGTTGACTGTACCATCATCAAAAGACTTCATGGTACCACCACCACCCCTCTCTTTTTTTTTTAATTTGACAGACAGAGATCACAAGTAGGCAGAGAGGCAGGCAGAGAGTGGCGGTGGGCGGGGCGGGGGGAGAAGGAAGTAGGCTCCCTGCTGAGCAGAAAGCGGGGATGTGGCGCTGGATCCCAGGATCCTGGGGTCATGACCTGAGCGGAAGGCAGAGGCTTTAACACACTGAGCCACCCAGGCACCCCATGTACCACCCCTTTTAATGACAGCTCCCCCTTCCTCCCATTCCTAACCCCCGGCAGTCACTAATCTGTTTTCCATCTCCGTAATTATGTTATTTCATGAGTCTTACATAAATGGGATCATGTGGTAAGTATCCATTCTTTTGAGGCTGGCTTTCTTAAATTCCATCTAATTTCCTTGCGGTTCATCCAAGTTGTGTACATCAAAAGTTCATTCCATTTTTACTGCTGCGTAGTATCCCATGGCATAAATGTACCAGGTGTTTTGGAACCATTTAACTGTTGGAGGACATTGGGGTAGTTTCTAGCTTTTTTGACTCTTATGAATAAAGCAGCCATGAATATTTGTTACAAGATTCTGCCTGAAAATAAGTTTCATTTCTCTGAGAGAAACACTTGAGAGTATAATCTGGGATGAACACTTGAGAGTTGTATGGTAAGCCCATTTTATTTTATTTTTAAAGATTTTGTTTATTTATTTGACAGAAAGATCACAAGTAGGCAGAGAGGCAGGCAGAGAGAGAGGGAGGAAGCAGGCTCCCTGCTGAGCAGAGAGCCCGATGAGGGACTCGATCCCAGGACCCTGGGATCATGATCCGAGCCGAAGGCAGAGGCTCAACCCACTGAGCCACCCAGGCGCCCCTGGTAAGCCCCTTTTAAAAGGAACCACAAATCTGTTTCCTGAGTGGCTGTACCATTTACATTTCCACAGTGGATGAGTGATTCCATTTCTCCACATCCTCACCAGCATTTGATAGTTTTCATTTTAGCCATTCCGATATGTGCATGGTGACATTTCTTATGGCCCTAATTTGCAATTCTCTGGTGATTAATGAAGTTGAACATCTTTCATAGGCTTACTTGTCATCTGGATATCCTCTTGTGTGAAATGTCTGTGAATGTCATTTGCCCATTTCCTAACTGGACTGTTCATTTTTTTTTAATATTGAATTTTGAGAGTTCTTTATATATTCTAGACCAAATCCTTCGTTGGATATAGGACCTGCAAAACATTTCCTCCAAGTCTGTAATTTGTTTTTCCTTCCTCTTAACAGAGTCTTTCGTAGAGCAAAGTATTTTTATTTTGATGTCATCCAGTTTATCAATGATGAAACTGTTCTGTGTTTTGACCATATTGATAATCAATATCCTGGTGACACTGCGTCATAATTTTGCCACGTGCTACCCCTGGGGAAATGGGGTAAAGGGCACACAGGATCTCTCTCTATGTTATTTCTTACATCCATGTAAATCTCCAATTATCTCAAAAAGTTTAAAGAATAAATCATATGTCTGATTGTAAATTCATTATTCACTGGTTCCAGTTGATCTCAGTTTGAGGAATCACCTTCATCTAGATTCTTCTCTAGAGATACAGGTTAGAAACCTGGGAGTCATCCTTTACTTTGCTCTCTCTTTCTCCTTCTCCCTGAGTACATAATTTCTTTTTTTTTTTTTTTAATTTTTAAAAGATTTTATTTATTTGAGAGAGCATGAGCAGGGAGAGGGGTAGTGGGAGAGGCAGACACCCCCCTGAGCAGGGAGCCGGATGCAGAACTCAATCCCAGGACCCCAAGATTATGACCTGAGCCGAAGTCAGACAATTAACTGGCTGAGCCACCTGCGCGCTCCAGCTCTGCCTACACATTTTCAACCCAGCACTCGTACCGCTAAGTGTCTGCATATGCTATTGTTAATTTTCCCTCATCTGAGAATGTCTTCACTTCCCTTTCGTTCCTTAAGGGTAATTTCATCGCATATAGAATTCAAGATTGACGGTTCTTTGCTCTCAGCACTCTATAAATGTTGCGTGACTTCTGTCTGCCTCCATAGTTTCCTTTATAAGCAATACTGAAATAGAACTCAAATTGGTGTTCCTTCCTGGTTGTTTCTCCCTGTTTTTCAGATTTTTTCTTAGTCTTTAGTTTTCAGAAGATTAGTTATGATGTGTCTTCTTTGGTCTTAACCTACTTGGAGTTTATTGGCTTCTTAAATCTGTAGGTTTCTATCTTTCACCAAATTTAGGGAGTTTTCAGCCCCAAAAGTATTCTTTGAGTACTTTTCAGTTCCACATTTCCCCTCTCCCAGGATTCCGATTTTTCAAACATTGGTCTTTTGTTATTGTCCCTGATCCTTGTCTTTTTTTTTTTTTCCCTTCCAGTCTGTTGTTCAGATTAAATTCTATTGATCTGTCCTTAAGCACTCTGCTTTGATCTTCTGTCATTTCCATTCTACTACCGAGTTCATCCAAGTTTTACCTTTCACAATAATTTTTAATTTCTGTAATTTCGATTTGGTTCCTTCTCATAACTTCTATTTCTTTGCTAAGATTTTCCAATTCAAGAGAATTTGCAATTGCCTATTGAAGCATTTTTATTACAACTGCTTTAAAATCCTTGTGAGATAAATTGTAACATCTGAGATAAATTCTAAAATATCAGTATTGGTATCAGTTGATTGTTTTTTCCTTACATTGTTGTTTTTCTGGTTTGGGGTATGATGAGAGATTTTCTATTGTATCCTGGACTTGTGGGTTATTATGTTAGGGATCTTTTAATTTTATTTACATCTTCTAGTTTAGCAAGTAGGAGACCTGCTTAGGTGTAGTGCATTGTTTTTGATTTTTTTATGGGCTTTAGTTCCAAGGGAAGTTCATTTCTCTCTCCTCTTTCTTTTTTTTAGTTTTATGGTTTTATAAACACAAACACGATATGCATATAAGCTGTCTATGCGTTTTCTTCACTGTGCCACCAGGCATTGGGATTGGCATCTCTGATGGCCAACTGGGTTGTTCTTTCCACCGCGGCTTTGCAGTTCTTGGAGGAGACATCGTGACCAATCTCTGCACAGTGAGATTTATTGCCCATCAGCAGCATTTCAGTCTCCTTGATGTTGTGGACTAGGGACTTCCAGAAGCCACTGGGCAGCATGTGTTCTGTTTCCCTGTTGCTCCTGTATCCAATGCTGGGCATCAAGATCTGGTCATTGAATCTTCTGGGCACCATACTGTCAATGTCTCTGGGCTTCCGCTGGTTGCGCTTAATTTTGACATGCCAGCCTGACAGGTGCCGAAGAACTTCTTGGTCCTCTTGTTAGGCACCTCAGGCTTCACCAGAGGTCTGAGGGCGGCCATGATGCCGAGTAAGATGGCTGCCACCAAGCCAGGCAGCCCTGAGGAGGAGACGGCAGTGTGATTTTCTGACCCCTGGCAATACTGTTCTGGTCTGTGTTGTTCTGTGGGTGCTGCTAGGGTTCCCGCTCAGTCCCTGCTGGTGTCTTCTGTGGTGTCAGAAGGTGCCTCCTTGGATTGCATGGTATTGCCGGGCCGCCTTCTGGAGAGGGGCAGGGAGACACCGGGCTTTGCTGCTGCTGGGAATGAATTGGGCCACTTGCTAGAACCCTGGTGTGAAACTCCCCATAGGTCTCCACTGGGCTCCCTGTCCTTTGGCAAAGAAAGTAAGCTCTCCTTTGTTTTTTTCCTTTTTTCTTGTTTCTCCCCTACCTTCCTTGTCTATGTCTGTTGGTGGTTCTGGGTTGCAGGCCCTTCAGAGCTTAGTCCAGGGTATATGGCAGATGAAAAGAAAACCCAGGAAACTCCCCACATTGTTGTCCCTCAAGTCCTGAGGTCCCTAGCCAGCCCACCATTGCCTTTCTTTTTTTTCTTTTTAAATATTTTATATATTTATTTGGGACAGAGGGTACACAAGCTGGGGCAGGGAAAGGAACAGAGAAGCAGGCTCCCTGCTGAGCACAGAGCCCAACACAGGACTCAACACAGGGCTCGATCTTAGGACCACAAGACCATGACCCAAGCCAGACACTTAACCTACTGAGCCACATAGCGTCCCACCCACCCCCCGCCACACACACACACCAAACCATCAAGCTTTCAGGGTCCTTTTATCATT